AATTCCGTGATTGTTAAAAATGATGGCTGCTGCAATTCTGTCATGTTAAGAGGTTTTTGTGACCCTCTCCAAATGTGTCCTCAAAAACAAAAAGGATGTTAACACCCACTTTAAACAATTCATCCATACTCATGTTGACATATGGACCCCAGGTGGTTGACCATGATCAATGCAGCCCTTGGCTGGAAAAAGGTTTGCCACCCCTGGAGTAATCAAAAGTGGGTAGCCTAGGTGATTTTTATGGATTTGTCCACTTTGATGTTTGAAAGGTGGTACAATGTAAACTACTTATGTTGCTGAATTACACCTTTAGAAGACAAAAAAATAGGTCTATATGCAAAACCAGGATGAGAATTCTTCCCTCTGCATGAACAGAGGGTTGCTTTTCCTTAGCTTTTAACATTATCTTAAAATGACCCAGTTCTCAAAACAGGATCACACATTTAGGAACACCAACTCGAGAGTCTGGGATTCTTTTGGGGAAAGACCCAAGGAAGGAGAGGTCACAAATTACTAGAACAGTAGCTTAGATAAGTAGAGAAGTGTTGACACTATTTTCATGGTTAATACTAAGGGACACACAGACAAGGATTATGTATAGAAGCTTAGTTTCAAGTACTTATTCCACACTGTTCACATGTGTTTGACAAAAAGGGAATGAGGAAATACTAATTGCTGCCACAAACCCAAAGGTCAGAAGCAACAGCTATTTGTTCAGTAAAAATTCATGAATGATTGCAGATATACCCATACAGGAATGTTTATTTCAGCATAAGAACCCTGCTATCTGATCAGACTAAAAGGTTGGTACAGCCCAACCCTAATTTTCAAAAGTTGGAAATGAGCAGCGTCTGGAAAACCTACAAAAATGGCATCGTGGAAGTTAATTTCCACCCCAGCCAAGATGTATTAATGAAGTTGCATCACTTGAAGTAGGGATGATTTTCAGCTGTGGAAGTAGCATGAATCATGCAGCTGTATTATACAGAAAGTGAGATACTGGACACAGTTCAGCTTTTGTATAGAACCAGCTTTTTAAAAAAGTAACAAGCCTTGGTTCCTACCACTGCAGTTTCACAGATATGCTTTAAAGTGTACTGTCAAAGTCTGAAACTTCAAAACCAGCGGGGTTGTCAAAATGCTTTCAATTGGAAGGAGCAGAAAGTTTGCGACATTGTATCCTTTGGCCATTATTAGCAGCAGCCAAATTTAGCAATGCCAATATAAAGTATTTTGCATTCAGTTGTGCAAACTTAAGAAAAATGTTCTCACGGGTGTAGCCCTGCTAAATCAGACAAAAGGCCCAATTCTGTTCTCACAGTGGCCAACTGGTATCTGCTATTGCTATTAAACCAGCAGGTCCCAGGGTAGGCTACAATTATTTAAAGTTCAGAAATAAAAAGTCAGATTAATTCACAGGAATAGGGCTGCTCCTGCAAGTGCACATCTCAAGTGTCAAGAGGCCAGGGTGAAGAGATTTGTCTTCATCAGACCAGGAACCTGTATAGTGAAGTTGCATCTGGCAACTTCAGGGAGGGAATTCCACAAGTTGGAGGCTGCTACAGATAATAATAATAATAATTTATTATTTGTACCCCGCCCATCGGGCTGGGTTTCCCCAGCCACTCTAGGCGGCTTCCATAGAAACCAAAAATACACTAAAATATCACAGATTAAAAACTTCCCTGAACAGGGCTGCCTTAAGATGTCTTCTGAATGTCAGGTAGTTATTTATCGCTTTGACATCTGATGGGAGGGCGTTCCACAGGGCGGGCGCCACTACCGAGAAGGCCCTCTGCCTGGTTCCCTGTAGCTTTGCTTCTCGCAATGAGGGAACCGCCAGAAGGCCCTCGGCGCTGGACCTCAGTGTCCGGGCAGAACGATGGGGGTGGAGACGCTCCTTCAGGTATACTGGGTTGAGGCCGTTTAGGGCTTTAAAGGTCAACACCAGCACTTTGAATTGTGCTCGGAAACGTACTGGGAGCCAATGTAGGTCTTTCAAGACCGGTGTTATGTGGTCTCGGCGGCCACCCCCTGTCACCAGTCTAGCTACCGCATTCTGGATTAGTTGTAGTTTCCGAGTCACCTTCAAAGGTAGCCCCACATAGAGTGCATTGCAGTAGTCCAAGCGGGAGATAACTAGAGCATGCACCACTCTGGCGAGACAGTCTGCAGGCAGGTAGGGTCTCAGCCTACGTACCAGGTGGAGTTGGTAGACAGCTGCCCTGGATACAGAATTGACCTGCGCCTCCATGGACAGCTGTGAGTCCAAAATGACTCCCAGGCTGCGCACCTGGTCCTTCAGGGGCACAGTTACCCTATTCAGGACCAGGGAGTCCTCCACACCAGCCCGCCCCGTCCCCCAAAAACAGTACTTCTGCCTTGTCAGGATTCAACTTCAATCCATTAGCCGCCATCCATCCTCCAACCGCCTCCAGGCACTCACACAGGACCTTCACCGCCTTCACTGGTTCTGATTTGAAAGAGAGGTAGAGCTGGGTATCATCTGCATATTGATGGACACCCAGTCCAAACCCCCTGATGATCTCTCCCAGTGGCTTCATATAGATGTTAAAAAGCATGGGGGAGAGGACGGATAAAGCCCTCTTCCAGGTTGCTGCCCCCAAAATCCTGAGAACAGTAGAACTACCTAGCCCTTCCCTTCCATAATTATCATCATCATTGAATTTCTATACCACCCTTCATCCAAAGATTATGGGGCAGTTTACAATATAACACGAGATGTAGTGATAGGCACTACCAAACTCCATTCTGGGCGCAGATTCAAGACAGACAAAAATTAAGTACTTCTCAACATACATGGACAGTTTCATTGGATGGCTTCCGGTTCTAGTATTATGTGGGAAGAAGACTGTCTTCTTTCAGTACTGTGTATAATTTTATGAATTTCTATCCTATCTTATTTCCCTTTCCCCCTCCAAACTATAGTCATCTCAAATGTTGCAGGCTATCTGCAAAAGGCAGCTGGTTCTGTACCTTTTGCCCAAAGATACCCTTTGGAGGTACCATGACCAGAACTGTGCACAATATTTCAAGTGAAGTCACACCAGACTTCTATAAAGGTATAATGGGCAGCTATTATTGGCCATTTTATTTTTGACCTCTCCCAAAGTTCCAACATTGTGTTGTCACTTTTACTGAGCTACCCATCACAACCCCAAGATCCCTTTCCTGCTCACTAACTGCCAGCTCAGGCCCCATTTGAGTCTAAAAGTTAGGAATCTGCCACGTTGTACATCATTTTACACTTGCTTCCATTAAATTGAATTTGCCATTAAACTGCCTATTTGTCTAGTTTGGAAATATCCTTTTGGAGCTCTTCATCAGCTATTTTTGTTTTTCTAAATAACTTGGTATTATCATCAAACATTGCTACTCCCTTCTCACCAGATCATTGATGATCAAGTCACAGACCCAATACAAAACATTAGGGGACACAACTTCTTACATTATTCCATTGTGAGAACTGCCCATTCACTGCTTCCTCTTCTTTAACCCAAACTGTGTGTTGCAACATGTTACTGCATCAACTGCAGTGTCGTGCGAATGCTACCCACTCCTCCCAGGGTTGGAAAGGGGCTAGTTTAACCTCTGGTTCTCTAGTAAAACTGAATTACTGTGTCACGAAATGATGCCTGTCTAAAGAGTGTGTCACCAACATGAAGAGTTTGGAAAGCTCTGCTTTCACCAGTTACCAATTCATAAATCTGCTTGATTTGCATGGTAGTTATTGCTAAATTCATTTTGCTTAGGCAGAATTTCAGTTATTTCTTTAGATTACACACAGCTTTGCACAAGAGAACGCTGAAGTAGGAGTCAAGGAATCCATCTTCACTGAACTTCAGTAGTTGCTTTCAAGCACTACAGTTCATCAATTAGTCTAGTTTGAGAGGAGTACTTTATTCCTGGTAACAGTGAAAACCTACAGAAAACTGGTAGTATAGCAACCCATAAAAGACTTTCTATAGCATTACTGATCTCTTAAAAGCGGTTATTGTCAATCCTTTTATTAACTGCAGAGATATGTCATTCAGGACACCAATCAGTGCCCCACATTATGCTCTGGGAAACCAGAGTTTGCAAGCATTTTCTACAAACATCCAGAATGCCAGAGTTAGGCTTCATCATGAGCCATTCTGTTAGATACATGTGTTTGTTGCATTTAATACAATCTTTAGCTGCCACCAGCCCCATATCCAAGTGTACAGACATGCTTTTCTCAAATGGCAGCCCCCCAAGCCGCATGGACTTTCAGGCACTGGATTGCTAGTATAAACTATTTAAATTTAAGAACTACAAGTCAATGAAAGCCAGGTTCTGTATGGAGACAACATGGGTAAAAAAATATCAATACAGATGATATTTTAATACAAAATATTTTTACATAAGTCAGTCTTTTTAAAATATAGAACCTTAAAAAAAAGAACAAGTTGCTATCAACACACTATAAACACGAGTCTTTTGTGCCAAGTTTTGATAGCGTTATCAGAACAGTTTTTAAATACCAGTCCATACTTTTTAACACTGCCTTTCGGTTTCTACGAAATGCTAGCCATGTTCTGCATGACCAATTGTTATGTCCACTGTGACGCACTTCCATTCAGTTCTAATCTGACAGACTGCTCAGAGTCTTTGCACAAGGATTTCACATTCAGTTTCCCATCACAGTTCAGCGGTGCACAGTATGGCCAGTCCCATTTAATTCAGTGAACATTAACTTAAAAGAGAATGTCAGTTACATGTACTGAAGTACATTGTGTGGTTACAGGTTCTTCGTCTGAAAAGGAAACTTGCTGATGTTTCATAGATATTCTACCCTGATCATCCAACCAAATTAACAGCACTCAAGTGTTTTATTTTGATTTCTCAAAGTTGAATAAAGTAATCTCTGTCAGATTTTCATTTAAGAGATGTACATCTCGGGAATGTTTTGGAATAGTCTTGTTTTTGAACTCATATAAAAATAAAAGAATACCAGATCTTGCAAACTCTTGTTTTAATGGTAAATCATCCATGACAAGGTGGCTAGCTAGCCAAGGAGAATTAAGATGATTTACTTGCATTGGAATAATTTACACAATTGAACTTATGCATACAGTACAGAACTATGAACAAAAAGGTGAAGCAAACTTTATTTATATTCAGGTAAAAACATTAACCTGATGAAGTAAATTATTGCAGATTTGAGAAATCAGCACAGAAAACAATCGGACAGAGCATTGCTTACATGTGTTTTATCTGTGTCAAAAGAAATGCTGAACTGTTTTGATCCACACCAGTGCTGGGGGGCAAGGTGCTAGGGGAGGGCTTAGGGAAGAGGACGTACAGGGGGAAAAACTTAAATCAAGGGGAAAGGATTGAACAGGGAAGGAAAATACTAATTTGACTTTATAAAAAACTTTACATCAATTCAAAATGCTCTGGCCACACCATAAATATTGGCCAGACCAATCGGTTGTTGAGTTTTTCAACTACACAAGAAAAATCAATTTCATCCTAGCCCACCAGTAAGAGGCTGTTGCCTAAATCACTGTGTGAATGGTTCTAGAGTATTTTCTGGTAAAGATTGTAGCCAATATATCCTACTACTACATTAAACTAAGCTATAAGAAAGATTCTACCTACTTACAAAGGCGGAATTATTGACAATATATTTAATAAAATTAAATTATTTCTTAATTTGAGAAAACATGGACCAGTAAATGCCCATGTCCAAAATGTAACAATTGTTGCGAGTGGAGTACACAGAGAGCCATGTGGATTGCACATCAGACAATACATGAGGGAGGGAGATCAGGGGCAAGTGATGGTACACAGAACTAGTCTACTTAACTAGATGTGCCAATACATGTTTTTCAATTTCTGTACTTATGTACAAAGTTGTCTTTGGGAGGAAAAAACTGCAGACTTGGCTAGATGGATACACACAGCCCAGTATTAAACTGCACAGCAACATTTATTGTTCCAGCCTGAAAAAACATCCCTTTTTAAATTTCACACAGCAAAGCAAGTTAAACTTCACTCATCGATAAATGATAATTTAAAACAAGAACTTGCTAAAGAAACCTTGTCACAACAACTTTAGGGCCTGATCACTTTTAAGTCCATGGGGCCTTTAATGAGTATCAACCTAGTGTCTTTGTTTATAATCTGCAAGCCGTTTTCTACAAGGAGGCGTTACGTTTCCTCGACTCAGATGATACATTTAGAAAAGAATCATGATTCTCTTTTTGCTGTAACAGGCAGACATTGCATTTTTCATTGTGATCAGGAAAGATGGAATGACTGCTGCCCTTCTCTTGCAGCTATCAAGAGTTTTTCACGCATTATCTCAATACTTGAATAGTCTGGCAACTTGAGATAGTTTACACAAGTCATTACTGAGGGTAAGAAGTCATCAGGATTTTCTGTAGACTCAAATGTCTTGCGTACAATTGTAAGTGGAGGATTCAAACTCCGAAAGCCTAAGAAGAAGAAAAAACAACGAAGTTCACGACAGATTGAATATTAAGAAAGTTTAAGAGCATTAAGCTATTGGTCTCAGAAAAAGACTGCATTCTTCATGCTGCTTTCTGTATTACTTAGGTAGATTAACTCAGCCGTGTGAAAACGGAATCCCTCGCCCCTGCAAAATCACCTGCTCACTCACTCTTCTAGCATTAAAAGGCTTATGGGCTCCAATGTGTGAGAAGGTTCTTATGTAGCCTGCCTCTGTAGCACTGCAATGTCAGTTGTGCATGTGGTGCGCCCTTGTCTAATATAAAGAATCCTAACTCTACAAGAGGAATCATGACTGTGGTCTTCATAGCTTTTCTTTCACAGAGCAATTCTGGAAGCTGCACGCAGATGGCCTCTAACATTAAAGAGGAAGCAGATGTTTTAACAACAAAAGGACAGGCAGCAACCATGGTGGGGCTCCAACCAAGTTTGCATATGAATCATTTCTGCTCCTCTCCCAGTAGCCAAGAATTTTAGGCTCTAATGAAGCAAATGCCACAATTAGTCATATATCATACTGGTACAGTCATTCCATATGAAGTTCTACCAGTGTGACAAATTGAGTCTTTGCCTAGAGACATTAGCAACTCATCCTAGACAAGTAGAACATAATGTTAACACTCACCTTTTTGTCTATTAGCAAAACACAGGGATGCTCAGCTTTTATTATAGGTTCTTATGCACTGGGCTAAATAAGGCTGCAGCCCAATGCATACTTAATGGGGAGTTAAGTCTTATTGAACTCAGTAGGCTTTGTGTACATGCACAAATTGTCAATGACTTTATTTTGAAGGGAAACCAGTGGCCCCTCTAAATGTTTTTGGACTCCAACTACCATTGGCCCTGGCCAGCACAGCCCACAGACAGAATGGTGGGAGTTTGGAGGTTACAGGTTCCCCATCCCTCTTTTAAATCAAAGCCGTCGTATTAGTACACAGTTCAAAAGGATAGACTTCTACTAGCTTATAGCACAACAGAGTTTTTACTTTGGAGGATTCAACATAGTAAATATGGCTTTCAACATATGAATATAGCTATTGAATTTGCACTTGCTTTTAGCCAATATTATAAAAACACTCACCTCCTACTGGCAGTCTAGGGCTACCAGTCACAAACTGGAGAAATAATCTTTGCTGCTCACTATCAAAACTACTGAGAATTTCAAACAGGAACTTCACAGCACGACTAGAATTTAAAAAAAGGGGGGGAATAGAGATTGTTAAACAGAACATCCACTGACGAATCAATAAGTGGCTATCTTAATAAAGCTACAACACAAAAAGCTGCTTGAGACATTCCACACATTAGATCACTGCCAACTAGCAACAAATTATATTACTTTGTGATTACCTGTCATGTGTATAACCATGATCTGGCCTGCAACATTCCATCAATGTCTTTGCATCCCAAGTATCTGTTTTGCTACCACACAGAAGCTGATCCAGCTATAACATAGAATGCCAGAGTGGAACCGGGGGGGGGGGGGCAGAGGGAGAGAGAGAGAGAGAGAGAGAGAGAGAGAGAGAGAGAGAGAAGAGAACATAAATTTGTTGTTGAATTATCACATGATTAATACAATTCCCTGCACACAGGCTAAAAGTATTACCACCTAACCAAACTTCAGAGATGAGGCTTCATGCCAACTCTGATTCTCTAACTCAGAATACAAATTTTTGAAGGCGTCCTTCCTCTCCACTCCTCTCAGTTCTTCCAAAACTTAAAATCAACTTTGTTTCAAACACAGTAATCTAAGCCGGATCTCTTTGGATAATTATTGAATTTTTAATATAAAATATTCAGGACCAAACTATGATATATAGAATTAAGTATTTTGTGAGAGTTACAGTCCCTTTATGTACTTGTTTTCTACGTACATTTGAATATTTAAGTACAACATGCTAGAAGAGTTAGAAATGATTTGAATTTCATGACTACCACAGTAAGTCTGGAAACAGTATACAGTCGTACCTTGGTTTTTGAACAGCTTAGTTTTTGAACATTTGGGTCCTGAACACCACAAACCTGGAAGTGACTGTTCCGGTTTGTGAACTATTTTTGGAAGCTGAACGTCCAACGGGGCTTCAGTGGCTTCTGATTGGCTGCAGGAGCTTCCTGCAGCCAATCAGAAGCAGAGCTTTGGTTTCCGAACGTTTTGGAAGTTGAACAGACATCCGGAATGGATTCCATTCAAATTCAAAGGTACGACTGTATTTATGAGGGTGCTGAAAAATTTGTATCAAGAGACTCCTGGACCCTCCTACAGAACTCCAGCTCCTCACATAAGGTAAAGGTAAAGGGACCCCTGATCATTAGGTCCAGTCGTGACTAACTCTGGGGTTGCGGCGCTCGTCTCGCTTTATTGGCCGAGGGAGCCGACATGCACACCATCAAAAGCTGAGCAAGCAGGTCAGATGAACCAAGTTATTGCACCTGGCATAAGGGTACTAACCTCCTCGGGATAGAAGTACTGAAGGTGACTGAGGGGGAAGACCGATTCAAATCCATCTCTGAAGGAATCAAATTGTCTGGAAACGCCTTCATTTAGTGCCCAGAAGATAACCAGCTGCAAAAACACACACAGAGAAACACATAACTGTAAAATTACAGCAATTTTAAATAATGCATTATTATTAAGAAAGATGATGATCCGGGGAGAAGAAACTAAAGTACAGCCGTGTACCTAAACTGTAGAAAAAGAAAGCAAGGTTGAGAACTGTCCTTCAAGTCAACAACACCCTTTATTTTCCAGTTACTGAAAATAGTAAAGTAAGAGGCCAGCAACGTTTTCAGGACTGGCTAGTCACCAAGAGAGCAAAGCTGGTCTAGTGAAGAACAACAACAATAATAATTCTAATTGTGGCTAAGTTGGTACATTCGTCTAACTGGGTGTAAAATTAAAATTAAGCTGGTACTAGAGAGCTAGGTAGACACTTCAACTATAGATAGCTCTCTCGAAAAATGTATTAACTCACTGTACTAACACACATATATACGCAGTTACTAGTTAGGGAAAAACTGCTAATTATTTGGTCTGCATTTACACTGTTCAAATAGTCACATCTCTTGGGGAGCCCTTTGGTTACTAACTTCAACACAATGTGACTCAATACCTTAGGGTAATGCATATAGACCAGTCATTGTTGTTTGCAGTTAATACTCTAGTAAAAAGGGGGGGGGGAGAAGACTTCTGGACCCAGCAGACCCTTCCAACATTCTTGTTACTTACTCTGAGATATTCTTCTAAATTGTGGATGGTGACAGGTATATCTTTCCCTCCTTTTTTCAGCTCTATGTTTGGAAAGCCTGGGAGGGTGAAGTCCAACCCTAGATCTTCTACTGAGCAGCCATTCATGGTCAGTGTTTCCAACGCATACTGTAGACTTTCTTTGGTCTAAAGATAAAATGTAAGTGACAACTTAGAAATTTTATGTATAGCCTTCTATAGTGTAATATTCATAGTGGCTAACATTCATTTAACTCCACATGATCGTGGAAGCCAGCAGAAGGGCTCCTGCTGGCACAACAGACCCTTCCTCCCCATTGCATGCCCCTGCATCTCCCTGAAATCTGCTGGGGGAGGGGTGTCAGAGTAACCCCCAGAACAGTGCATGGGGGAAGGATAGGGGGGAGAATTTCATCAAGTAAGAAAAAAAGGTGTGTTCTGATGGAAGGATTGGATAAGCACAACACTGAGTTGTTTGCACTTTTATTAAAAGTTGTTTACATGGTAACAGCAGGCCCAAGTGCTTCAACACAATGTAAAGTAAAAATCCAAGAAAATAAGATGCCATTAACATTCAACTTCTTGAAGCTACAAACATGAGTCTGACCAGTGGAAGACAGGAGTGCCTGGTGTGCTCTGGTCCATGGGGTCACGAAGAGTCGGAAACGACTAAACAACAACAACATTCAACTTAGCCTTAGCTATGCATATAGGTCACAAGATTACCAGGAAACTCACCAACAGCATTCACAGAATATAAGTATGGCCAAGTACAACAATAAAACATGCTGCACCCTTGTGCAATGTCCAAGACATTAAAGCTTGGGAACTGTGGTTTGTTAAAACCATGTTTTTCAAGTAGAGTTTAAACTCTGCTTGTTCTCAACCAGTTCCTGTGGTCAGATGTCAGAAGTAACTATGGCTGGATATTTGAAAGCACTCTTTTCATTACTTGAAAGCACTTCATTGCTTTTAAATATTCACACAAAAGAGAGGGGTGAGGCATGAATCCAAGATTTGTGCAGGCATGTTTATGTAAAACACTGATTGTGTTGGATAAAATGTTAAATGCTAAACCACAATGTGATCTTATGAAAGCAAGCTGCAGAGAGCCTCAGGTTTACATACTCTCTGCTGCAGCCACAAGGAGAAGCTTGGAAATGTCATCCAAACCCTGAACACGCTGTGGTTAATCTTAACTATGGTTAGCTGAAACAAGTCAACTTCAAATGATAGTTGAATCAAACCAGCTTCATAAGTTAACTGTAGTTTAGATTAACCAAGTTACAATTTTGAATATAGAAGTAAACTATGGAAATACAGTACGAAAATCACTTCTTGCCAGTCTGCAATCTGTCTACCACTTAAGACATGGCCAAGGCATCCATCAAATGGACTATTATTTGCCACACTTCTAGCTACCAAGTAAGAAAGATAGATGGATAAATTTGGCATCTTCTGTTCTATAATTGCACCTACCTGCGATTTATCCTGTTCAAGTCTTTTCTTTTGCCGCACAATTTCTTCAAGATGGTATACTGATCTGGCTACTACAGGATCAATGTTAAACAAGTCATGAGATGTTAGCGACGTCTCCTGTCGCAGCATCCATTTGTAAAAAGGAAGGCCAAGGGGAAGGTCCACCTAGAAGGAAAAAACAGTTTCACTTTATCTGAAAACAAAACTTAAAGGGACGTGTAAACCTCTACGTACCTGCACGCCACCAAGCAACAACTGAAAAAGGCTAAATTGCAATTGCCTGCTATTAATCTAGTAAATGCCATTTGTATAAATGCCATGGATGATGTTTAAGTATTAAGTTTCCAATTACTCTATTACTGCACTACTTAACATACTTAAGCTGAAGACTACTTTAATGCACAAGAGAGCCATTGCTGTATGTAGCTAATCATTTGGGGATCATTAATATGTATTAGCCATCTAAATTCAGAAGCTGCTACTTCCAACAGTATGCTTTTCATAACTAGAACCTTGAAGCCAGGCTTTTAGAATTGCAATTTCAGCTTGAAGGCTATATTGTATAGCAGAGGCTACTTTAAATTTAAAACCAGTTCCACTCTTACCAATCTAAAATCCATGATTGCTTTTGCCATCAGTTTTCCCAGAAAACGGAACTTCATTTTAACTTTAGCAATATGAGCAGGTTTAGCTGTTCTGCCGAAGGGAAGTGCAAACAGACCTTGAAGATTATGAATATATTTGGTCCCTTCTTGGCTTCCTGTTTAAAGACACACAAACAGTAGAATTATACACAAGTCAAAGTTATAAGTTGGCTCAAACTAATGGTCTAGTTTTAAAACACTAACTCAAGCAGATGAACTGCATTTAGATATACAGTCAGCTTACAACATAGGGTTACAACAGCAAATGCATTATCTTGCTCCAAAATAGAGCAAAAGGTTAGTAGTATGTCAAAGCAAGTATAATCCACGGACAATATTTACGTTTCTGTTAAAGGACTGTTTATGGAGCTCCTTTCAATACTTTAAAGCTCCACATAAAGGATACAATTTTATCCCCTGCAACAATGCAGTATAAGCTTTGAAAATCCCACCCTCTGAAAATATCAAGATGATCATTATAGTTACCTTTAGGATTAGCAAGAGTAACTTCTTCACCCCTCCACAAGCCCAAGTCTGCTCTCTGTAGTTCCTGAGATACAAGTGCATAAAACTCCAGTGTGGGTCCAAGACCAGTGCCAACCTTTTGAGAAAAGAATAGTAATTTAGAGATGTCTGTAAAAAGTCCAAACATGTTTTCTGCAACAAGAAATGCTAATTGCAGGAATGAAGGTAGAGGAGGAATTGTTGGCAGAAATGTGCAATAGAAGCGGCTTAATTATGTTAAACTCAGGGGGGTTTTAGACAAATTGTTTAATTCAGAACTTAAAACATTTGCATATTGATATTGCTGCAGGGGACTCTGATTGATGCTTTGAAAGATGGAGCAGGGATAGAAAATAGTTGTGTAAGCAGTGTACTGGAAAAAGCACCATTGTATCACAACTGGACACTTGATTTTGGTTTCAGAGTTGCATGCTACAACTATAGTATGAGAGTACCAAGACAGTGCTGGGATTTTTATTTGCTTCAAAAGAATGAAGGGAAAACTGCAAGCAAGCCTTTCAGAAATATTTTGGCACCATATTCTATCTTATCAGAGGGCATCAATCCTATTTGTAGACAGAAAACCTCATGCTTGTAACACTCTGAACAGAACCCTTTAAGGGTTTGGCGAGCCTTTCCACACAAGCCATATAACTCTAAACCAAACAAATAAGCCACAACTTGTTCCTCCAAAGCTTGGTTTGCTTTTTAGCTGGACAAACATCTGAGGTGGCCTAATAAAATGTTGAGCTCACATGTTACACCAAACCATAATTAAAACAAGCTATGGTTCAACAACCTGAAGAAAAATGTGACTCTAAGACCCCTGATTACCAAACTTGCACTGCAAGGGATTGGACCAGATGACCTTCAGGGTCTCTTTCAACCCTACAATTCTATGGCACCATCTTCAGGCCGAACTGCAGCAAAAACCAGGTTGAGGAAATGATCTGCAGCATGTGTCAGACCCACAGTGTACTGAGACAGCCCCATAGTTGTCAAGGTGGCTATGCTGTTGTGAGCTTGCCATACTAACAGAAAGCAAAATATGATCTGTTAGCTGATTTCAGATGTTCAGAAAAACCACGGCAAGCTAGGCAAACCATGACTTAGACTGATGTGCCAACAGGATCACTCTAGACTACTGAACTTCCTTGTAATTGGAAAATAAACAATTACCCATGCATGCAGGGACAGGCAGCTATAGTCATTACTTACTTCATTCTCATACTGGATTTCCAACATTGCTCTTGAACTGCCCAGATCCTGCATCACCGATTCAGCTTGTTTCAACAGTTCCTCTCTGTTCACAGTGCGCTGTATGTCAACGAAAGGCAGGTATTATTTTTAGTCTTCACAAGCCAATTGTATTATTGAAAGCAAAGATAACAGACAACAGCCCGAGTCAAAATGCCCTCTAAATTATATATTTAGAGGGCATTTTATGTAGTGTAGTACTTGCATTGGATACTGAAGTACTTCCCTAAAACTAGTAAAAATCCATTTTTCATTGCATTAATTACAGGAAGCCTTGATTTTGCATTAAATTGTGTTCTTCCGTTGATGGAAGACTTTTTGATCCAGGGGAGAGAGGTGTGTAGGGTTTTTCTCTCTCATTTGTTTGTGTCTTTGTATTTCTTTGTTGTTATATATTAATTTCATTTCTATATTACTTTATATTTTTAAGGGGGGGGGAATCTCAAAGCAGTTTACAGCCTACATTAAAACATCAAAGAAATCAATCCAGAATGTCAAATATAAAGTATAAATTAAAACCAACATAATCAACAGGAAACTAAAATGTTATCTTAAAGATTTCAAAATAAAACATTATAAAAGGAGATCAAGTACAGGATGCACATTTAACAAAAAAGGTTATCTTAAACATTTCAAAAGGAAACATTATGGAAGGAAGCCCAATAGACAATGCACATTTAAAGCTGCCAATTCTGCCAATAGTCGTTTGTGGTGAGCGGCGGCTGCAGAAGCTCAGGCTTAATGATCTGGGTCTGCACTAAGAGACAACTCAAATGCAGTCCTCTGACCACCACTGCCTCCCACATTGCTTCAAAGGGTCCTAGAGCGTATTTGGGGAGGGGTCGCTACACAGGGAATGGGAAATCAGTAAAAAAATCCCACTCCCATCGTCATTGTCCTCACCTGACCAATTACACATTCAGCCCACTCACAAACCACCAAACTTCCCAACAGTAAAACAAACCCACAAGAGCCCAAGCAAGACATAAGCTCTCTTCAAGCAAGGCAGCAAAATGAACTATCACTCCAAGGGAAGGGTGAGTCAAAGATTCCTTTGGAAAGCTGGCGTTTTCCTGCCTTCTAGCAACAGGACTGCTTGTTATTGTCCTAGTGCCCACTTGCCCAAGCCAAATGCACCCTCCATAACTATTCTGCTGTATTTGATATTGGATCTCCCCACACCTTGCATTTGCAATTGTATTTGAAGAAAAAAAATAATCATTATTGAAGCAAGAATTCATTTCATGTTACAGATCAGAGGATTTAGGTGTTCTAGAATACGTAAAAATTAGTAAGTGAGAATCATTTATAAACCATGACAACGATCATATTTATTGCCTCACAGTAGCTTTGAAAAGGCCTCACTGTGATCATTTGGAAGAACTGCAGACTCCCCCAACTTCTTCCTATAACTAATGTAATTCAGTTATAGAAAAGAAGCTTATTCTAAACCTCTGAGGGGTTCAATGAGGTCATTTCTTTCCTGTCATGCCCCCACCCACAATGATAAAGTTACCTTCTTCCTGTCTAGTCGTGGTGCCACTCTGCTATCCTGAGAATCGGACTGGTTGATTTCTGGATTGGTGTCCAGCAGTCTCTGCATGGCTCGATCTCGGTCAAAGGCAGTTACATAAAATAGCATTTGCCGTGTGTCAAACGGAAAGAAAAAAGGACTGTAAAAAGAGAGATGAGTTTTACACTGCAACTTTATTATTTGGAAGTTAAGCAAGGCTACATATGACAACAGTTGAAAATGTTTTATTTAAAACATTTTATTTATTTAAAAATATTTATCTCTATATATAAATTCAAGGCAGCTTACAATACCAATGAAAACAATGCATTATTTTTATAAAAAAATCCTTGCAAAAAAGCCTACAAAAAAGACTGGCTTGATAACAAATTATGTTTCCATGCTGGATGCAGAGGAAGCCTCTTAAGAGAAAAAAAAAAAGACCTGCCATGTGGGCAGTACCTGGACCTTGTTAACATTCTTTACTTAGTCCTTGAAGTTTGTGAATATTATTTTTGGAACAAAGAAAAAGGCCTTAAATTTGGTTTCAACTAAGCCTTCCTCAAGCTTGAATAAACCATTGCACAGGGAAACAGCATATGGCAACCTGACTCCACTTGAGAAATTTAGATATATATTCATGTTTAAAACTTGATGCCTCTTCTTAAAAGTCACCTATCCTGTTTAAATGGTTTTGTTGCAGGCCTATAAACTTCTGAATTCCTCCTGACCTGCTCAATATGAAATTTCAAAGTTCTGCATCATCTCCCTCACTCCTTCATTCCTTTATAAAAATTCTAGTGTTGGGAAGAGTCTGCTCAAAATCTCCACAGTACAATAATGGTTTATAGTCAAATTCCATACCATGATTTCCCAAGCTCTGTCAGCCATGTTGGTATGTTTCCTGTCATTATCACCAAAGGATCTTGAAGTTGTCTGTTTGCCTTTGCAGTGAGTTTACTGTTGATAAATTCTGATGTTGGAATAATCTCTTTACAGCTTGCATTCTACAATATCAAAAAGAAAGTTGCTTCTGTTTAGAAAAACCCGTTCACTACCAAGACTGTTCATTTTTACAAAACACGGGAACGCAGTGACTGTGCCTTTAGCCTAACATGGGCTCCCTGCAAACCACATCTTGCAAGTCAGAAACTAGTCAAATGAACACATGCTCCTTCACTTTCTCCTCAACTTTGGATCACATTTCCCCGCTTTTCAGCATTAACCATGATGCACCATGTAATCTGGTGTTGCCACATACCATGGCCAACCCAAACAATGGTTTCTGCTAAAGCCAGGAACTGAAACTATGGCTTGACGTGTGTTTGCACACTAGGGTTACAAGAGAGGCACAGCTTGCTTTGTACTATTTTGGAGGCAGATGACATTAACAGGACTATTGCTGGCTGTGTGGTGGGTGGTAGTTTTAGCCTTGTGAGCCCTTTTCTGCTGAAGTTGAACCTGGAGAATTGCAGTCTGCTGGAGAAGCCAGAATGCTTGGCCAGCTTGCCTCACCTATGAAGAGCAGTAACTTTATTTATTTTATTTATATAAACAATTCATATACTGCTTACTACAAGAGTCTCAAAGTTGTTTACAAAGATAAAATACAGTCAGAAGTTCCTAAGCAGACAAATCTAACCAAAGATCAGAAAAAAATCAAACACAACAGCAACAAGTGTACTCACATCATACAGGTAATACCAATAACGACTGATAGCATGTAAAACTCTCAGAAGAATAACAACATCTAATGAAGGATCTTCAAAAGTTATATTTTCAGGTGGCGAAGATATAAGATAAACTTCCAAAGGATTTGAGACCAAAGGACATACCCCATCTGAAAAAGGGACAGATTCTATTAATCATTGGAGAAAGGTTTTCATATATTTTTACTTTCTTTATGTAATAGTCAGCAACAGGATCTTAATTAAACTGTGCTTCAAATAAAACATTATGCAACCTTCCCTCTATGCTTGCAGGTGATCCAAATGCTTACCATGCCACAATTCATCATGCTTCTTTGCATTTCTAGGGGATGTTTTCGTAGGAGCAGTTTGTGCCCTTCCTCTTTTACCACCAACACAGTCTTTATTACTATCATCATCTTCTCGCACTGGCTTGTACCTAAAAAGAAGCATTATGTTATTGACTACCTGACCCGGTATGAAATCTACAGGAACAGTAATTTCCTGTGTGAAAAGAGCATGCCAATCCAATACTATATACCTATAAAATTAGAATTATTAAAAGTCTGTCTTCTAGTGCCAGACTGAGAACCAATCTACTCATTACACAAGAGATTCATAATTGCTCTCCCAATATTTCCCCACATGGAAGTGCAACTATGAAGGACTGTCAATTTATTTGGAGCAGCAGCAGAAGGGTTAACCACATCCCCTTCAAAACTGCTCCAAGCCCTGTGGAAGTGGAGTATAAGTTCCTATATTCTCCATTGCCATGGGTGACCAGCAGCGGGAGATAACAATTTTCATCAGCAAGCTGGCAAAGCGGGGAATGGGCAGGGCAGCTACCAGGCCATAACAGGTACAATTAATAAAAAAACAACAACCTGAAGATCAATCGCAGATCTCCTAAATATTGGGCTGCTTCACACTTACCAGTAAATCATTGAGTGCTATGTGGACAAGCCTCAGAGCGCATGAGCAATACTCACATACTCCCCACTCCTCCTCCTACACATAAGGATGGCAACTTTTGCAAATACTGCTTTCCAGTTCAAAATAATCCTGGTTTAGCATTACATACAAACCAGGAATCCTGGTTTAAAATAGTGGTTAATTAAATATGGGTTATAATCTGGTTTATGTTGGCCTTCTTAGTGGCTAGTCTTTGTTTGAAACTAGGAATTCTGATTTGTACCCAAAATATTCTTTAAAACTTGAAGTAAACTCAGAAGAAGGCCTCCTCCTCACCACAGAGGAAGGGGAAGGGGAAGAAGAGCTTAGTGTTGCGGTTCAGGCTCGTCTGCATAGTGCTAAACCATGGGTTAGCATTATATGCAAACTATTGCTAAGTAAGTCTGGTTCACACAATACTTTGGGCCTTGGGATTTTACCTCCCCTGCTCCCCTACACCTATGGAGAAAAACAGGGAGATCCTATATTTCCTTGAATACAAGCACTCTGCAACCAGATATCAGCACATGTAAAAAGAAAAAGAAAAATAGAGATGGCAATAATGGAACCTTTTTGGAATCTGCTGCTTGAACAGGATGTTTTACTTTACTTCACAGTAAAGCAATCCAGATTAATTTGTGCTGTCCATAATCTTACTATCCTAACAGATTCTTACTTCATATTAATATAATGAAGTGAAAATGATATTTTACACAATTATTCAATAAGTTTAACACATGCGGGCTACAAACACAAATCTGCATCTGTAACTCAGTGACAACAGTGACTGTTCCCCTTCTTCTGATTGACTTACCAAATGGTATGAGTCTTTGTCCATATGCCAGCTCTTCCTAAAGGGTTGCTTTCATCATCTGTTGATTCCCTTTCCTCTTCAGCTTGCAAACTGAACTGTCTAACTGCTTGATACACTGTCATGTTATATGGCAGGAGATGATCTCCAATGTAGAACTGAAGCCTGTGCCTCACATTCCCTGAATTTAAGAACTGAGCAGCCTATGTGAAGGAAAGGATAGAAGTTAAAAATCAACCTTCCAGCTGTGAACAACGGAGATCAAAACTGAACAAAGCCTTACCAGAGATTCATCTATTTCCTCATCTGATCCATCATCATCACTATCTTCATCATCTTCTCTCACTCTGCCATAACCTAAAAACGGACAACAGCAGTGCAACTTGTAAAGTGTTTTATAGAGGCTGCAAGAAACACCTCTCATACTATTCTATTTCCAGACGTAAATAAGTCACTATCTAAGAAACTTTAAAAATGGATCACAACAGTACAGCTTGCCAATACAGTGGTACCTCAGGTTAAGTACTTAATTCGTTCCGGAGGTCCGTACTTAACCTGAAACTGTTCTTAACCTGAAGCACCACTTTAGCTAATGTGGCCTCCTGATGCTGCTGCGCCGCCGGAGCACGATTTCTGTTCTCATCCTGAAGCAAAGTACTTAACCCAAGGTAATGTTTCTGGGTTAGCGGAGTCTGTAACCTGAAGCGTATGTAACCTGAGGTATCACTGTATGCAGCTTTAGTAGCAACCTGTGTGCAGAACTGCAGAGTAACCAGACCTCTGCACTGAGGACATAAACTATGGAATTTGCTACCACAAGACGCAATGGTCACCAACTCTGATAGTTTTAAAAGGGGATTAGAAGAATACATGGATAATTAGACTGGCAATAGCTTAGTTATGATGGCAGCACTCTACCTCTAGCATCAGAGGCAGAATTCCTATGGACACCAGTAGCAGGTGAACAATTGAGGAAGAGAACTATTGCTCTCATTCCTGTTTGTGGGATTCCCAAAAGACATATTGCTGGTTGCTATGGAGTAGACTTGAGATGTGAACTAGATTAGACTGGGCTAGATTAGAGAAGTGAAGACCCCCCCCCTTTTATGCAAATAGAATTTGTTTTTTGAAAACACTTTCAAAGAACTTTGAGGAAAAATATACAGAAAGTTCCATTGCTGCTTGGTCTGCTAGTGACCTTTGGCTTAGTTTGGAGATACGAGAAGCAATCTACTGTCCTTTTGACCCAGCACCTCAAACAACAAAGATACCCTGCTTCAAAATTGACAATAATTATGATTGTTATGTAGCTCTATAAACTAGGGTAAAAGTCCACTTTTGAACAATCCACACCTATGTGCCATCTGTTTCTCCCTATTCTTGCCCCAGGGGAAATAAATGAGATGTCTAGCATTTGTGGAAACATGTTTGAGCAGCCCATGGTGACGGAGAGTGAAGCCTTTTGTTATTAGCTCTCCAAAATACTATCTTGTAAAGATCTCCCACTAGCAACAATAGTTTTTAGCTAGTGGTATGAAACTTTTAACATGTGGGATCTTGAAGTTTTCCCAGGTTTTTGGTGATACCTGCTATTTACATACAAGCAAACACAGCAATTCTGATGCAACAAGTGATAAAGTGAACCAGAGAGACCATTTGGGCTGGGCAGATTGCTTTCTTGAATACACCCGGGGGGGGGGGAGCATTTTAATTGGAGATTGACAGGCAGTCTCAATCAACCTGAAAATCTATACAATGATTATTGAACTATAATCAGGCGATAAAAATGTTCAGATTTTACTGTCAATTTACAACTTCATAAATTTGCAAGCTGTACAATGAGACCCTTTATGACACACACACCGCAATAACTGACACACAAGGCAACCACCATACTTTTACAGTGTATCATAAGGAAAAGAGGTACCTCTAACTACAAGATATCTTTCAATGGCTTGTACCAACGCCAGGGGATCTATCTTCACAGGTCCACCTTTCCACTGTTTCACATTAGCACAGTCTGGATGTCTTTGCAACTGGCATTTTAACTGATGGGTGTTGAAAAATTTTAAAGCTTGCGATCCTCTGTTAAGAGAAAAACTCAAGATAATTTATGAAAAACGTTGCTACAGTTATTCTATTTTCACTTGTGGACATTTAATACATTACAGCAATTGAAATAGTTTCTGGCTTTGGTTTTACAATTAAATTATTAAAACTGCATGCATTTTAATTTGCCATCACCTAATGTCATAGACTGAAACCTGATCAAAACTATTACAGAATATGTGCCTCAGGCCAGTTTAAGCTGAGCAAGGTGACAATCCTATGCACACATCCCTGGGATAAGTCCAACTGAACACAGTGGGACTTACTTCTGAGTAAACATGCAGAGGATTGCACTTCAGGTTGATAAGAAAACAGTAACTAGATATTGGACTGCTATTTCAGTGTATCTTGCTGCTTTAGATGTTCATGTATATCAATTTGTAAGAGATTTAGATTCGTTTTTGTTTGCTTGTTCAGGTTATAGAACAGTTCTAGTTCTGCAATTATTATATTCACAAAATTTTCTGTCACTATAGTGTGGAAACAGTCATCAAATATCTCCCAGTTCAACAAATCCAATGAAAAACAGAAAAAAACAGGGTGATATCCAGCTAAGTCATACTCAGAACAGACCTACGGAAATCAATTTACTTGTCTACTAATTTCAGTGGGTATTATACTAACAATGGATATCACCCATAGGATCTAACATTTTAATGAAACCGACCCACAAACTTATTTAAAAATTAGCAGTTCCTGTAGTTATTGCTGTACATTTCTTACTTGCTAAACTACTGATAAAAACAGAAATGCATACAATAGCAAATATTACAACCACACATGCACACACAAAAAGTGTTGGCTGTATTGCTTAGACTAAAAATACTTAATTCGTTTAAGACACGGACAGCAAAAGGTTATAAGGAACAAAAAGACACACTTGCTTGACTTACACATGGATTTGGAATACGGCTTCAACTATTCTCTCATTCTAGAGTTTTGGTCAAATATCTGAAAGAGGTACTTCAATGTGTTTTCCTTATATCCAATATGGAATTTCATAAATCAGCTGAGCAAAAAGACTCATTTGGAAAACCAACCGAGCAAAGTGCTCATCTTGAAACCAGAAAAATCTTGAGTCTCTAACTACTTCTAAATCTGAACTACCTATTCACCAAGTATCCAATAGGAAAACTGTTTCAATTATAGCTTTTGAATGGTATGTAGAGAGCAATGAATTTAGCCATAGTATTCTGCTAAAATTGATTAATATAGTTTTGGTCTTACTAGTTGTATGCCATGTCCCCACTACCACTATTCAACAAAGATGTAAGTCATACTCTTCCCTTCTAGTTCCAAACAACATTTGGAAGCTGGAATTTTATATTAAAATGTTAAGTAAGAGCAACCTTTATCAAAGTTCATTAAAGATGCTTATGCTAATGATGCTGAAGCTGTAAATATGGTTTTTAGGAGTTTGAAAATACTTACTCATTATTTTGAATTTAGCACTATCATTAGAAGCAAAGCACTGTTTTTTCTATAAGTTTTTGAGCTGCTATGACCATAAATGGTAAAATGGACAGCAAACACAACACAGTGGGCCACATAGCCATGCAGAATTCATGATTCCAGGAACATTCTGGAAATGCGACACGTTTACCTGAGAATTAATCCTTACCTGCTCCCTGTTCCATTTCCGCTTGGAAAGTCATGGACTTTAACTGGAAATTGCTCCATCTGACTAAGACAGTTGTTCATTTTGTGGAACCAAAGCCAACAAAGGTGCATTTTCTAATGGCTCTAATCTTCCAAGGGGTTCTTCTCCAGGAAGCTGAAATTAAAGTTTTGCTTAATTATTTAATTTTTTAAATAGTTTTTGCCAAGTGGTCACTGAGTAACTCTATGACCAAATACTGACAAAGCAGGCAGGCACAGGCTTATATTCCACATGCTATGGGCAACCCAAACCCAATGATTATTATTTCATCAGGAACATAGGCAAGCATTTGACTTCCACAAAACAAAATACGCCTGTTTATCCAAAACTACGGTTTAACCCAATTAAGAGAAAAAAAGTACACAAAAACACATGGCAGTCAATTTTTGTGTGTGAGATAAAATGTTATCTTCAAATCATGTTTTAGTCATTTGCGTATCAAGTTCTCTCTGGGGAAAGAGGAAAGCCATATATGGCTACCAGTCAGTTATGTCTTTTAATACCACTTCCCTTAGATTCTTGAAAGAGTAAATAATGAACACAAGAATGAAGCGACCCCTTTAATACTGGAGCTGTAAGTACTTACTGGAGAAGAGAAAAACACATGAAGGAACCTTTTCAATCTCACATCCCTGCATACAGCATCTTTTTCACTCTTAGACGTCAAGTAAAGCAGCAGCTGTTTCATAAACCCACTATGCTGGATCTCAAATGAAGAAACATCAGACTCAGAGACTATACTACGGATTTCTACAAGGCACTCAACTCCACCATCCACCTGAAATAAACAGTCTCTGTATGAGAATGAGGCTTAGTAGTCCAGGAACTATTCCACAAATGGAACAAGAACCAGCATATTTAAAAATAAAAACTCAAATCCAGAGGAATACATATCCCAGATTTTTTTAAACATACTCTGCACTGCCTTACTTACTTTACACAACTTAAGTGAGCATGTGCAGAAAAGTTCATGCCAATATACCACTAAAAGGCAGCACATATGTAGCGGCCTTATGAGAACGTAACTATTCAGCACATTACACTGAAACTGGGTGCCTAAATAATGCCATCCAGGATGTTTTCCCCTCAAAAAGGACTCCTGGAGAGGCTTGAATGGAAAGTCTATTCAGAAATATTTTCTACAAGTTGGTTCAATGTTTACTGAGCTAAGAATAAATGTGCCCACATGTTCCCCCGTCCCTTTGTGTGCCAGCTTCAGGATTTCTCTCATGGTTTATGTCACAATTTCCCCAATACATCTAAATCATGAAACTGTGGCTTGATATCTGCTTACCAAACAGGATATGATCATCACTAAATGAGCGCCAAAGAACTTTTAAAACTAGCTGATGTTTGAAAATACTAGTTGTATGCCAATACCACCATGCAGTAACACTGACTATGTAGCTGTGTGAGAAAATTATGTAAGGAGGGCCTTTTAAAACAGTGAAATACTGACTCTGCACATAACGGTAAGCCAGGAATCCCAAATAACTTGAACTATGATATGATCAAGCAGTGAGCTACTGCGTGAAGCCCACTCCGCTTCTCTTCACATAAGCAGGCAGAACAAAAATCAGGTTGTGATAGCTTAGCATAATGTCTAAACGCAGGATTCTGGTCTGTTGCTCCTAAATTTGTTGGACAACAAATCATGGCTTGCTTGGAAGTCAAACCAACCAACTAGAATTCCGCATTTGGGCATCACACTGAACTATTCCTTCTTCATTTGTTGTACCTGCTATGCCTGAAGAGAGAGCAAGCTGCATGCACTAGCACACTGCTTGACCGTACTGTACAACTTGCTGGCTGCACGTTCATCGCCTTTTAAAATTCCAGCAATCTTTAAGATTTAGGACATCATCCATCCTAAAAGCAGAGCTGGGCACACTTTTAAGAGTCCCCTGCTCACTGACCTCCTACACATGCACATGGCAGCATGCTAGATCACCACCAGGAATTTACCATGGGGTAGCTAAAGTGGTGTCCTTCAAATGTTGCCCAACTCCCATCACCCCCAGACAGCGTGGCTATACAGGATAATGGGAGTTGCAATCCACCATATTAGATGTCCAAATCTATTATACCCTCTCCCCTCCCCACCAAGTTACATAAACATCTATTGAATCCTCTGTGTGTAAAACTGCATCCATCACCCACTCTAAGGATTGTGTCCCAATATTCATATAGTTACAATGCTCAGAGAGCACCATTTGAAGATTACTGGCTTACTTCAGTTATGAAATTGTTTTTGTAACAAAAATGTAGTGGTTCTTATTGAATCATAAGGCACTGGACATACATAAATTGGCAGTGACAACATACCAATATACCCTCCAACATAGAAGAACTGCAAAATGGAAAAGTTAGTGACACCAATGGCTTTTAAACAGACAACTTCTGAAGCTTAGAAGCTGGATGCAATAAGCACCGATGACCTCGCTATTTTAATAAATAAATAAGGGCAGAAAAGGCTTGGGGCTTATCCATGTGTACATTCTAAGTAGTATTAATCTATTTGTTCTTCCTGTTAAAAGTTTGCCCTCTCATTCCAATATAGATTAAAAAGATATTCTAACCTGAAGGTTGAGTTGTTCAGTTGCAGTGCAAAGTCTCTGTAACACATTTAGTGCAGGGTTGCTTCCATCCATGTTCTCAGAGCTAAAATAACGCTCCACAAATTTGTGGGCTTGCTCTTTAATCCAACCCTTAATTTTCTCTCTACAAGAAATGTACAGTTTAATATATTGAACACTTAACATTGGCATACTAAGCACAACTGCCCTGCACAATTTGAGTACATTTTCATAGTGCAAAGAAGTCTCGGAGGTAGGAAAGGCCAAGAATTTTCTTCCCACCAAAAAGAACTCCCATTGCACTTTAGTCCAGGTTTGTTAAATATAGACAATTACTTTATCCAGATCGCTCATGAGTATAACTTCATTGTCCCTGCATACTCATCTCCCTCTACTCTGCTTGTCCTATGATTTTAAGAATTTATCCTCTGCCTTCCATACATATACTTTTACTCCCCATGCTGTAAACTTCATTTTGGCACATTCTGTCCCAGCTTGAAGTTCTTCATCATCCTCTCCTACCAAAATTTTCTAATAAAACCAAGACTAAGCTGCCACAGACAATACGGGTAATCTATATTAAACTTTTTTTGCACGTCATAGTAAACTATAGTTAAGTTTACTGTGAACATGCTGATCTGGATCACTTTGGTCCTCCCCACCAGCAAGCTGGAGAAACAGTTCATGGTGCCTGGGCTTACTGTGGGTGTTTGATCTGTTGCCAAGAACAAACCTTGGTTACAAGATTGCAGTTTGATTAAAAACAAACATTGGTTTGAACACAATGCTAAGCCAGGAATCATGGCCTGTTCTGCAGGAGAATGTGACCAAGATCAATGTTCATAGTAAACCATTAACTCTGGTTTACCATGGCATGTGAACTGGGCCACTATAGGCTTCACTGAATGGAGTTCTGTGTAGTGAAGTATGATTATACCTGTTGTTGGATATTGTGTCCTTTGAGGCAGCTCTTGCCAGACCACTCACACCTGCTGTACGTGCTGGTTCAATGTTGTTGCTATTGGACTGTGTGCTTAATCTTCCCCAGGTTTTAGGATTCAAACTTGCCAAGAAGGAAGATTTAGGAGATTGAGTAGCTGTAGGGCTTTTAGCTTTTGGAAAAAGAGAATGGGAGAGAAAGTTTCAAGTTTAAGCTTTAAAAAGTCTTAAGCTTTACCAATTGGCATTAAAAGCCACCAACATTCAGAGTTCTGCTCCCTTTTAATGCATGTCATGTTTTCCTCCTAAGCAAAGCTATGAGATAAGCAATTATAGCTCCCAATTGTGGAATAAAATATTATCAAGTGCATCTTCAAAGTGATTTAAAGACACTTAAATGTTTACAGATCAAATGTGTACACAAACATACATCACTTCTAAAGCTGCTATGTGCATCTATTTTATCATGTGTCCACACACTACTAAAAGGTCACCAGCACTGTGTACAATGGATTCATCTCATTTTAAAAAAGCTTAATACTCACCACCTTTCTTTTTACAGAAAGAATGGTCACAGCAGTAGCAGAAAAAGAACATTACACACAAAGACACAGCTAAAGGAAGCAAGTAAAATCAAGTAAACTGAACTTCAGTGACAGCCAGGAGGTATCATCACCTACCTATAAAGAGGGGGGGGGGATTTGCTAGGGGGTGGGAATCAGCAGCAGCCTTCACTTTAAGCTTTGTATGGAGCATATAGCTTCTTCTGCATTTAATGAAAACTTTGATTTCCAGAAACAATAAAAAATTTCTTCCATTTGCATATTCTAATAATCTAATCAAAGCCACATTTGTGCCAAAAACAAGAAGTTTCCAGTCAAAAATATATCAGTTCATTCAGTTGCTCAAAATGCAACGTCACTGCTTTGATTTGGAAATATTTATTTTACAGGTCTGCCAACATCTAGGCATTTAGGACATATTCAGAACTAGAAAACTTTCTTTTCTGAGGATTGTACAGCACTGCTTTTTAAGTAGCCACAATATTTGATTTACTATACCCGTTATGCAATTTCAACAGAAGCTTACCTTGATTGTCTACTTTGTCATCATCTCTGGGAGGTGAATACTTTGGCCGCCGGGGCCCACGTTTTGGCAATCTTTTTCTCTTCAGAACATCACTTAATCGGCTGTCAAATGTTGAAAAATGCACATGTCATACATACATCAGGCCTGATACATTCCATTTGAACCAAACTGTAATATATTTGAACCAACCTGGATTTTAAATTATAGCTAATAATCTCAACTAATAAACTGGTATGTTAGCATTTTTCTTCCAATTTAGCAGACAGCTCAGATTATTTTAATATGTCTGTCAAAGAAAGCATTCTAATGTGGGACCTTAACCTATTTCTCAGCAATGCCATTAGTAGCGTTTTGTTCACAGACCAAGTCAAGCACACTCACCCCTGTGGACTCAGGTCCAGAGAGTCTTCCCTGCTGTGCTGTAAGCTTGGAGAGCCTAAGTCTGCGGCTGCATTGCTAGCAGCAGTGGCTGTTCCAGTGCTTATTGTTGTAGTAGCACCCAGCGTTCCTGAGCCATTAGTGCATGCTTTGGGGGGACTTGTCAGCAAAGCCTCCGATTCCGCAAGATTTTTCACCTGGTGCATTACACCTTTTTAAAAAAGAAAGATAACCTTCAGTGACAAAGAGACACATATTTCAATGTGGTTTGCTTGTTCAAAACACATGACCAGGGGTGCCAACTTGAATGAAATTTGGGGGGGGGGTGTAAGCCCCACCTTGCATAATCTATCACAAGACCTTGCACACGCACACCATTTAATAATAATAATAATAATAATAATAATTTTTATTTATACCCCCACCCTCCCCAGCCAAGGCCGGGCTCAGAGTGGCTTACAAGCAATAATAAAAACAAGATGAATGATTACAACTTAAAAACAAAATTAAAATACAACATTAAAATATTGAAACATTAAAATATTAAAATGTAGCCTCATCGCAGGAGGAGAAGGAAAAGAAAAAAGAGAGGGAGGGAATCAAATTGGCTCCAAGCCAAAGGCCAGGCGGAACAACTCTGTCTTACAGGCCCTGCGGAAAGAAATCAGATCCTGCAGGGCCCTGGTCTCATGAGGCAGAGCGTTCCACCAGGCCAGAGCTAGAGTTGAAAAGGCCCTGGCTCTGGTTGAAGTTGATCTAACTTCCTTAGGGACCACTAGGGTGTTGCTATTTATGGACCTTGAGGCTCTCCGTGGGGAATACCGGGAGAGGCGGTTCCGTAGGTACGAGGGTCCTAGGCCGTGAAGGACTAGCAGCACTCATTAACTTTGGGGGGGAGGGCTGCCCACCCCAATATTTTATTGGGGAGGGGCAAAGGGTCCTTGGCCCCTAGGCACATTTTTAACAATACAACAAGGCACATGAAGAGCTACACATGAATCTAACTTCTGCCATTACCTTCTCTTCTGAAGTAAACACTGAAAATATCAGGTAACTTTTGCATTAAGATCTCTGCCATTTGAAGGGCTCCAACTACTATCTTAAGGTCTTGACTTGACAGCATAGAAGCTATATGACTGCAAGAGAAAATGAAGACAAACAAAATTCAGCAAGATGAAAGCAGCTTCATTTACATTTTCCATACACAAATGAGGACATTTTCAGTACTGGGCAGGTTGCTGAAAGTGGGAAGGAATGTTATATTCCTGGTACCGTGAGATCAATTTCACACACTGCATGGCAACATGCCTGACTTGTCGCTTTCACACAGACAATGATGTGCAACCAATTCTGGGGTTTAAGTTAAATATAAAAACAAATAGGTTTTTATATTTTGTCTGGTATCTACATTTTCTCCTTGGTCAACAAGCAATCCGGTCAATAGGCCATTCAAAGACCAATTGCCATATAATGAGCATTTTGGGATTTTGCCACTGTAAAATTAAAAAAGCACATCCATTGAATATACGCAATTTAGAAAGCAGTTATAGTTAATGAACAATGGATATTCATTAATTAAAAACGCTGTGTCTTTCATTTCTAAGAGAACACAATGGCAATCATAGCTAAACACAGAAGCCTCAAGTGGTAACCAGATATCTTAAGTGGCAGTTTGCATTTTGAGACTCTTGTTTTAGTCAAATGAACTGCTAGATTAAGAATCTGACTCATCACAATATCATTCAGGATAGGTTTTGCATCAAAGTGCGCATAACAATTACCTTGATACTGCATGATTTTTCAGCACATCCTTCAGAAGTTCAGCATCAGCAAAATAAATTATCCTAAGAATTGCTCTAAGGCACTTGTGTCTTACTGCAGGTCCAGCTGAAGAACTGTACACTTCATAGAGAACACCAAATAAGGTTTTAATGAAAGATTTAGCCAGTTCTGGGTCTTCTTTCATTAACTGTGCTCGAGCATCATCCTTCTTTGATTCTGGATGTCCACCTACAGGAAAATAACTTGACCATTAAATATCAAGGAATGGTATGTTGTTTAATTTTATCCAGCCTAAACCCCTCAAGGTAACATACTAGAATAAAATTTACCAAAAAAAAAAAATGTACCAGGAAGTACTATTTATTTATTTCATAAAATTTATACATACCACTTGGTTGTAAAGAAACCTCAAAGTGGTTTACAAAAAGATGAAACACTACAACCAAGAAAAAAATCACTACCATGTAAACACTACCATGTAAAAACAGCTGTCTAAACAAGGAAGTTTTTAGCCGACACTGAAAAGAGTACAGTGAAGGAGCCTGCTTTGATCTCAATAGGCAAGGAGTTCTGAAGTGCACATGCTACCACACCAAATGATCACGTTCTTACAAATGCAGAACAGATATTATTTGACACCTGTAGTGCCAATTCCACAGATTGAAATGGTTGAGTGGGCACATGTAGGGCAAGGCCTTCTCGTAGGTAAACCAGTCCCAAGTTGTTAAGGGCTTTATTATGATAACAGTAACAGCTTGAACTTGATCCAACAAGCAAATTGACAACCAGTACAGATCTCTGAGCAGAGGTGCTATATGTTGGCAAGGACTCACTCCTGTCAGCAGTCATACTGCAGCATTCTGCGCAAACTGCAGCTTCTGGATCAAGCCCAAGGGAAACCCCACAAAGAGTGCATTGCGTCAATCCAGTCTTGGAGAAACCAATGCATGAACACCAACCCACTGTGGGCTCCATTTTATTAGCATTCAAATTTCAGTTTATTGACCTTTATCCAGCACCAGTCCAGCACTGGCATAGCCTCTCCTGATTCAGATGCTATGGGGAGAGAAAGCTAGGTGTCATCCTCAAAACCCCCTGGTGACAGTTCCCTGCAGCTTCATATAGCAGGAGGGACAGTATAGATCCCACAGGGTGCAACAAAAATTGCCCATTGCTACTATCTGGTAGCAGGCTTGCGGGGAGAAGTGGAACCACTGCAAAACAGTACCTCCCACCAACAACCCACAAAGTCACTTCAAAGGAATACCATTATTGATGGTATTGAAAGGTACAGAGAAATCAACAAGACTCTGAATTTAAATTCATTTACCTAATTTTCACACTCTTAAAGGGGCAGAGTGGAAACTGGGCACGCATTAAATTCTCATCATTACGTATTAGAAAGCATGTGGCCCTAAATAGGATCTTGTTCCTTATGATAGGTATCTGAACGACCCCAAACTTTATATAGAAGACATGCCTTAATTTACAAAGCAAAATGTGGGAACTATTTTTAAAATAGTACTTACTAGTGTTGGTATTGGCTAGAGGGTTAGGTTTTCTCTGAATGGCACGTGCTGTTCCAGTATCCTCATTGATCTGCTGCATAGAATTAAAGTCAATTGTATAAACACGCCCCAGCGTAGACAGACTTATTTCATCTTCACCAACCTGATGAGCTGCCTGAAGACAAATATGTAAGTTTAAACTCTGTATGAGTTTTGAGTTTACATAAATGAAGATACCGTGTTCCCCGCTGCTGAGGGATAAAATGGGCACAAAATGAAAGCGTTGGTAACAGCCTCATATATGGGCCATGCCACAAATAAGGTTTTAAAAATTGTTTTTTGCCTGCTTTATGGTTTATTTGTCCTGATTTCATATTGCAAGCTACCCTAAGCACTTGCTTGAACTTACTTTTTGTTGACTACAAGTTTAAAAGTAACATTCCAAAGTTTTCACCCTGTACTATACAGTATCAGCAAGGAAACTATTTTAATGGATATATTCAGCTAAGTCGGACAAAAATATCCACCATTTCATGAAAATGACTATACATAAGCTTCAAAATTAACCTAGCCTGAGGAGATGATTTCCATTTCATAGCTAAAATTTGATTAATAATTGTTAACCAATGTATACATTTACAAGAGTGAACAGTAAGCAATGTCTTTCCTTATACAGGGGTGTGTGGGTTGCTACCTCAATTATCCGGCTATCAATTCTGTTATAGGGATGCCAAAGACCTCTGTCATCTCGCCATTGCCATATTGCACCATCTGTGTTCTGTGCGTTTCCTTTCTTTAGCATGGTGTCAACAGCAAAAATTCCTTCTTTCGGTAAGCAAGGCATCAATTCACTGAAAAGAGCAAAAACAAACAAACAAAATTAACAGCAGATTTTTGTGTAATGCTAGACTTCATGCCAGTGTATTACGAAATGGGATCTCACTACTGAAAGAAAAACTCACCAAAAAAAAGAAGAAAAAAAGAGCCTTACCAGATAAGTGATGTAAGCTCGTACAGTTCTTGAGGGCTTCTTGGAACAAGGTCAATTTGTTCCTGACAACTTCCATTGGAGGCTCCACAAAGAAGAAAGTGAAGAGTTTCTGCAATATCTTTAAGCATAAACAATCAATCACAATGTTACTCTGCCATGCCCGTAGTAAGCATTAAAGAATGCTCTCAGAATGGAGCAATTCCAAGAAGAATGCACTTAGTGTGTGTTTCTACTGCAAGAATTAAGTGTACACAGTAACAGTAACAGTAACAGTAACTGAAAGCAACCCAAAACCATACTGCACACATGATCCTCTCTAAAGCATAAGCCTTCAAGTGTGTGTGCCTGGGGAGGTATGGAAAAATCTTCTGACTCTTTATACTATAGGCTGATGCTGGGAACTTTACACAAAATAAAACTGATATTGGGTCCTTAGCAACGACTTTGGGGGTCACCAGGAGGCCAGGGTCCCTAGTGAACATTACAGGTATTTGTTAGGGTGAGGGAAAGAGAAACCAGTGCATTAATTAGCACAAAGGAATTGATTGGCTGTAATTGGAGCCTACAGCTCATTCCCTCTCCCCACCCCACTGTTGACTAGGATTGCAAATAGTATAGAAAATATAGTTCTGTAGAGTGTGAAATCTGTCAGATCTACTGTCAAGACAGAGTTGCATCTAAATCAGTATGAGATGGGGAGGAGAGCGCACCTGCCCATCTTTGGGCAGGAGAGCTACTGCTGCTTACCATGAGGGAGGTTGGCATTGTGCCAATACACCAACAGAAGCAGCTCTACCAATGTGTTCACACAGCAGCAACCTCCCTCCTGCTTTGCCCCTCCCATTCTCTATCCAGGTAAGCAACCACAACTCTGCTACTAGGTAGTCATAAGTGCCACCTCCTGACCACGCCATCTGCTGCTGATCTGTGCCAGAGCTCCACATTTCTCTAAGCATGCTTCTTTGTCTCCATGTGCTCGTTTTGCCCTTTTCATATGGTGAACACACACACACCACACACTTCTAAGTGATGCATCTCAGTTTACTGGGTCAAGAGGATAGTCACGAGCACCAGGTTTGGAAAGCATCGTGTAATTTAACTAAATGACAAGATAGAGACATTTTTCTCATTAGAAACAACATGTGAACCAAAATTCTGAAATTCTGGTTCAGCTATCTTGTTTAAGCCTTCAACTACAAATGTATGTTGTCACGTTGCAGACTTGAAAACATGTTTTGTTACTAAAAAGTTAGAGTTGAAATGAAAATCTGAGAAATATTTGCTGCACAAGCAGAACAGAAGCTGCTCATTGCAGTAGCCCACTATCACGATTTATCTATTTTTTAGAAATCTAGTGGCTTGCTATCTTTTGAGTTTTGTAGAATTACTACAAAAATATACACCCAGTGGCAGTTGCTATCCAAGAGAAAAGCTTTACTCAATTTTGTGTTCTCAATTCATCTCACTCAGCTTTCATGCCTAGTTTTTTGCAGTGCAACAGCTTTGGTTGCCCTGTGGAATGACTTTTTCTTGGAGAGAAATGGAGAGAGTGCTATATCTTAATGAAGCTGCAGCAGCAGGCATTTAACTATTTGCTATCATTTCACTCGCCAGTCCTACAGACACTATAACATCTAGTAAACAGAATGCTAAGAGCATACACATGCACTTACTTTGCTTCATAAGTTGAACTGCTAGTGTAGGACAGTTGGAGCACATAAGGGAAAACATGCGCACCACCATGATGAACATCCCTGAGCTCAGAATCGGAGGAGTCACTACTAGGAGCTGCTGAATATTTGTGAGCAAATCCTTAGAGGCAACTTGCTGGAGGAGATTCTTCAAAGGAAAGAAAGAGGGTTTTAAGTATCATTTGGTCAAAACCTTTTTTCAACATTATGCTGAAGACAGAAAATAGATGCTACCTCCTCATGTTGGAAGTTGTCCACTAGGCGTGCAAAACAGAGGCAAGTGCTTTCTACTGACTTTTTGTCCTAAGAAATTGAAAACAAGTATTACATTTCAATATACAAGATTTGGCATGCAGGTACATCAAGAATTGCAATCCTGGAATTGTCCTATTACAGTGTTTGGCAGAGTTAACTGAGAAAGCATAAAAAGGACCTAGTCAAGCTAATACACAACCAAGAATCACAACCCAAGAACTGGGACAAACTACTTAATATCAATGTATTTCCATAGCCAAAATTATCTCCTTTAGGGGGCTGTACTACCATTAAGGTCTGGTGAAATTTCTCCACAGCACATGTAGATCAATCTAAGATTCACATATCAGAACAATTAGAAGATAGCTGACCCAGACAGTTTCTGACCTGGTGGGTTAGTCTTTGTGTAAGCAATGGCAGGGAATCTGCAACAAAGTGAAACTCATCAGGAGTGATGCTCTGGCAGCAGTTGGCAGCAATAGCTAGTGCATTCCTCTGGGCATTTATGCTGAAAAATTCCAGATACAGCAGACAGTCTGCTAAGCCTCCCTATAATACAAAACACACAAAACCAGTTCAAGCAAAGAGAGGACTTTAGATCATCAGGAGAGATACAGAAGTTTCTTGGAGCAAGTGCTCTTTAAAACTCTGGTAACAATCAAGATTAAAAATAGCCCCCTTTTTTAATCAGAAGAAATACTTACTGCCTGCAGAATAGCTTTACTATGTCTGCGTGATAACATCTCCAAGGCAGTGAGTGCCTGCTCTGCCACATCAATACACTGAATAACTTGCAGCTAGAACAAATAAAAGCAATTTATTTAGTTTTTAAAGTGATATGAAACAAGATTAGAAACTGATCTATGCTGTCAATCATTTCCCAATGTTCAAATTTTGAACCATACTTTAATAGTTTCCATTACCTTTAAACATGCACACTTTATAATATAACTTTATATTCACTCAGAAGCTTAAGTATTATATAACAGTAATTAAATTGCTCTTGTTATGTACCCTATACTATAGATATATATTTATTTTATACAACATTGGTGTGCTTAATTCTGATTCCTTACTTAATCACATGGAAAGAAAATGGGATTGTCCAGTATTTGTGTACAGTATTATACAAACCATTTCCAAATTGTAACATTTTACCCCATACTACTACTACTACCTATCATTATTTAATTTATTATATTATTATATCATCATCATCATCATTATTATCATAATAATATCTGATTTAACTCAACCACAGCACTGAAATTTACAGTGTTCTTGAATCCTCCAGAACAGACTGAACAGAAAATTCAGGATTACTGGAACTGGCTGAGTCTTTAAGTTTACACTTTGCCAAATACATTTGACTACTCAAATGAATGTTCTGTAAACTCAGCCATAACTTCTGGCTTTGATGTATTCAGCTTACAGGGCTGTGGGTAGGACAAAAGCAAACACTTTACCCAGGCCCATTAGTCCAGGCATGCAAGCCTCTTACCAAGAAGAAACCTATGTTCTCTATACAGTGTCCAGACATTGCTAGAGCCAACCAGAAACATGAACAGAAGCAACGTCCTAAACAGTGAGGTGCTTCTGGCCCAAGGCCCCATAGAAGTGTGTGTGGACTTTGTTTTAAGTGACAATGTACCACGCTACATTACATGCTCTGTCAAGAACTACAAGTCCCAGTTCTTTTAGTTTCTACCGGCAAATTTTATGCAAAGGCAAGAGCTGCCAGCAGGGTGTGGCAGCCAACCAGCAACTGGGGCGGGGAGAGAACAAGTCCCAAAATCATGGACTTTTGAGATCCCAGGGACAGGAGACACCAGTGGTGCCAATAGGATTTACTGGCCCCAGAACATGCATAAACAATACAAAGCTAGGCCTCTCATCTCTAGAATGGTTTTAGAACTGGCACTAGATTCCAGGAACAATATCTGAAGGTCGTACATCACTCATGTATAACATATATATATACTTGCTATGCTATCATGTTTGTTCATAAATACAATCAGACGGCTAGAAATGTTAGGGAACTAAAAGCAGCTAAAAGAAACAAGTAAATCCTCTTTTTTTCAGGTGTTGGAGTCCATCTTAACACTTTATACCAGGTTGAGAAAAATTACTCTTTGTGCTGCTTCATAAGACATTATGTTACAACAAATGTTAAGTTCATAAAGTTAGTTAACAGTATTACCTTTTCCAAAAAAACAGGAATTGCATCTACTACAACAGCAGATGATCTGGGAAGTGCTTCCATCATATAGGTTAAGGCTCGACAAGCATGATTCATCTATTAAAAGATATAAGAACATAAGAGCCCTGCTAGAGCAGTTCAAAGCCTATCTAGTCTAGAATTTTGTTTCCCTCCATAGCCAACCAGATGCGTATAAGAAGCCTACAAAAGTAGAGCATAAAAGTAATAGGTCTTCCCTACTGTTGTTGCCTAGGAAGTGGTTATCACGAGACCTTCTGCCTCTTGAACTGGACCTAGCATATAGCCACCATGACCAGAGGCCATTGATCTAACAATGCTATCTAGAATGTGCAAACTAGCAAAGCCTGCTTTGAGATTTACCTGAAGCTGCATTTAACAAAGCGTGCATGAAATACTTACAATGTCAAAATTGTGCTCCATCTGCAGCAATGTTATCTGCAAACAATATGAAAGGATGAGTCAGCTTGCAAGAACAATTTCTAGTAAAAATTTCTAGTAAAATTCTAGTAATATATAAGTGTATTGAATCTACAATTCCCATCATTCCTAGCTAACAGGACCAGTGGGAAGGGATGATGGGAAATGTAGTCCCAAACATCTGGAGGGCCAGAGTTTGCCTATGCCTGCCTTATGAGATAGGTTAGGCTGAGAGAGACTTGCTCAAGGCCACCCACACAGCTTCATGCCTGAGCAAAAATTTGAACCCATGTCTATCCAGTTCAAATCCAAACCCCTACCCCCTACACTGGATCTCAAAATGGCTAGACAAGATGCACATTTATTCCCTAGTTGTCTGAAGCACAATCAGTAATTTGCTGTTTCTTTTAAAATGTCACTTTTTGCCAAGGGCATTGGTGAAACATACTGCTCTAAAACGTTTAGAGAATGCAATTATTGAAGCATTTACAGTGGTACCTCGCAAGACGAATGCCTCGCAAGACGGAAAACCCGCTAGACGAAAGGGTTTTCTGTTTTGGAGGCGCTTCGCAAAACGAATTTCCCTATGGGCTTGCTTCGCAAGACGACAGCCCATAGGGAAATCTCCGGGACAGCGGGGAAGCGCAGCGCGTCTTCCCCGCTGTCCTTGGACCTCCTCCGAAGCCTGGTGGCGGGGCGGGGACACCTCCTCCCGCCGCCGCCGGGCTTCGGAACGATGCCCCGATGCCGGGCGGGGGGGGAACGCCTCCGCCGCCGCGCGCCATCGGGACGATGCCCCGATCCCGGGCGGCGGGGCGGGAACGCCTCCCCCCGCCGCCCGCCATCGGGACGATGCCCCGATCCCGGGCGGCGGGGGGGGGAACGCCTCCTCCGCCGCCCGCCATCGGGACGATGCCCCGATCCCAGGCGGCGGGGGGGGACGCCTCCTCCGCCGCCCGCCATCGGGACAATGCCCCGATCCCGGGCGGCGGGGGGGGGAACGCCTCCTCCGCCGCCCGCCATCGGGACGATGCCCCGATCCCGGGCGGTGGGGGGGGAACGCCTCCGCCGCTGCGCGCCATCGGGACGATGCCCCGATCCCGGGGGGCGGGAACGCCTCCCCCCGCCGCCCGCCATCGGGACGATACCCCGATCCCGGGCGGCGGGGGGGGACGCCTCCGCCGCCGCCCGGCATCGGGACGATGCCCCGATGCCGGGAGGCGGGGCGGGAAGCCTGGGCGCGCTGATCTCAGCGCGCGCAGGCTTCGGCATGCTGGCACCTGTCCGCAAGCAGCGGCAGCGCTGCCGCTGCTTGCGGAGAGGTCCGCGAAGCCTGGGCCGGACAGCTTTTGAAGGCAGGCGGGGGGAGCAAAGACTTTCACCCCCCGCCAGCCTTCAGAAGAGGTCCAGGACCTCTTCTGAAGGCTGGCGGGGGCGAAAGTCTTTGTCCCCCCTGCCTGCCTTCCCAGGGGCTTTTAAATCGCCCCGGACAGCGGAGAAGTCCTCCGCTGTCCCGGGTGATTTTAAAATGCCGCCCGTCAGCATTTTAAGATCGCCCCGGACAGCGGAGACGTCCTCCGCTGTCCCGGGGTTTTTTAAAATGCTGGGGGTGGGAAGAAAAGCCCTTGTCCCCCCCCCCAGCCTTCAGAAGAGGTCGGGGGACAGACTGTCCCCGGACCTGGTCTGAAGTCGGTTTCCCTAGGAACGCATTAATTGATTTTCAATGCATTCCTATGGGAAACCGTGCATCGCAAGACGAAAAACTCGCAAGACGAAGAGACTTGCGGAACGAATTAATTTCGTCTTGCGAGGCACCACTGTACTTCTTCATGAAAACACAGTGGATAATACATTACATGTTCAAATGAATGAGTGAAGACTGGTCCTTACCAGAGCTGGCACAACACTCTTGACTGGAAATCCTCCCAAAGTTTCTTCATTCCCCATGACCAACAACTGACACATTTCAATCACAGACTGTAATTGCTGGCTTTCATCAGTTGCCTGGAGCCCCTGTAGAAGTTGCTGAGCTTTAGAACCTAGAAAAATTGAGGATTTTGAAAGCTTAAATCTTCCACTTCCACAATATATTATCATAGTTGATTAGGTGAGACAAGGCATTTTCATTAGCTGCCTATCATAAATATGAAAGCAGGGAGTCAGTAATGCTGCATTTATATGCATCTTTGTTGATATTTAAATATTAGATTACAGCTACCAAATAAACCAACAGTATGTGCTTTAAGCTACTGAAATGCACTATAATATTCAACAGATATTGCAAACTGAATCCATCCTGATATGATAGGAACAGAAATAGAAACACAATTTAAGATCATTTTTTTAGCTAGCAGAGTTCTCAACCTGATCAAACCCTGGTAGATCTATGGGCACATAGTTCTGAATCACTATTCAAAATTAAGTTCCAAATTCACCTGCAATTGAGACACACACAGTTAAGCCTCTTCTCACTCCTGCTAATACTGCACTTGTAGCTTTCTGTACTTCAGGCTTTCTAGTGATGAACTGATGCCAAATGACAGATGCCTCCCCAGAGGACATTAAGCTGAATTGTATATTGTCTTCCTATGCCAACTGTAGAGAATTGCCTAACTGTAGAGAATTAGGCTGTCATGCTGTACTGTTGTGTCATTATACTGGAATAATTACACTGGCAAAACTTTGAGAGGATCCCGATTCTGTTTTAAACATTCAAAAACTTTTCTTCTTCATGGTACACCCTCCACAGTGAAGTACCAACAACAAAAAACCTTTAGTCAAAATATGCAGTTTTAATCAATCATGAGAGATTAGAGAAGAATGTGTTTCTGAACTGCATCTCACCAGTCAAAGTTTCACAGTGTCAATAGACTGGGCGTACATCTAAGTCTGGATATATCATAGGCTACTGCTTGTGTTAACATATACATCATTTACTTAAAATACAGATCTACTGATGAAACTTCTAACAGCATGGTAAGTAGATACATCTTCCTAATTTAGGAAAGCTTAGAAAATGTAAACCACCTTGGCCAATGGACTGAATCACTGTAGAAATATTTGATTACCTATGCAGAGGGGCTGTGTTTGGACAATGTTGGTTTATTAAATGGGGATTTAACTGTGAACCACTGCACTGTGAACCACTATTAAACCAGAAAGCCTCTAATTAACCACCAAGTACAATAAAAATAGTGAAAAACACATTTAAACTTTAGGATTCCTGCAAAAGCAATTATTTGATAGAACAACCAGATAAGCATAAAAAAAAACATACTAAAGGTTGAAGATGGGTACTTTTCATTCCCAGCTGTCAGGCTGACCTTACTACAGGACAGATGGGGACAACTGTTCCTAGCATTGCAGGCCCTCCCTGTGGGTCCATGTGGTTGTTCAGACTTCCTGCACTTCTTAGAAGGGGCCATGGTCCAACCAAATAGGAAGTGACTCTTGGACACTGTCAAACATGGCACCCCCTAGTCAACAATAGCCAGTGAAATTGGGAATGTGCATCCATGTCTCCAATCACCCACCCACAACTCCAGGAAAAGTGTTTGCTAGAAGACAGTACTGAATTAGGTACATCCCAATGATTCTTTCTGGCACAAGAAAGTGTCAAGCATGGCACTCCAATGCCAATAATAGCCAAAGTGTTTAGAAATGAAGAACTGGGGGTGTACACCCCAAGCTCTGAGCCACCACAAATCATATACCTAAAAAAAGCCTTGTACAATCAAAGACAAGCTTCCATGTAAGATGGCACAGAACTGGCATCCAATCCAGAGAAATAATCGTGTGCAATACACCATCCCATGCCAATTATAGCCAATGTATGTAGAATGAACAAAGTATCAGGTCTGTGTGTGTCTGTGTGTCATAATAGGTTTTCAGCCACTCTAAATCATACAACAACATTACAGCATTGTGTCCACCTCAGTGCTTAGTTTGAGCACAAGACACGGTCAAGCATGGTGCCCCCATGCCAATAGCAGCCAAAATGTTACCCAAACGCTAATTTGGAGATGGGGTAGGGTGTGTGTCCTTTGGACTCCTCGTAAGCAGTGGCTATTACTTTCAATCCAACTACTTGGGATGATAAAACATTATTTGGCAAGAATGTTAAAGGTCAACCTTGTTTTTACTGCACTAAAGTTTCCCCTTTGCCAAATCATAAAATGATGCCCACCACATATGGAACAAGTCAGAATCCTAAATCACATTGTGAAGCTGGAAAAGGATTAATGGTTGAATCATGGTGAAAGGGCTGTGCATGTAAGCAAAAACCCCAGATTTAACTTGGCTTAAGAGACAGAGAAAGGATCATCCAAACCCAAATTCAAGTCTAGAAAGAAGTAGTTGTTTAAACAGGTTGCTTTAAATATGTTTCCCTTTGGCTGCAATAAATATAATTCAAGTGATTATGAAGAAATCCACAAATGTGGAGGTTTGACAAAAGCCAATTAATAGGATGTTTTTGTTTTTTTACTTGTTAATAAAAGTTACAGTACAAGATCTAAGTATTCTGAGAATTTAGTCTTAGAAGTAGTCCTTCAAGAAGCTATGAGGCTGAGGAGGGACAAACTTCCCAAGAGTAGTAATTCGAGAAACTTCCTGGATGAAGCAGCTTACTTACTAGCTCCACTTCCAATTGTCCGATGAAAAAGTTGCGACATTCGAGGACCAAGAGGACCAAACAGATGTGGAGGAAGACCTCTAGCTTCCAACAGAGCTAGAGACAAAAATATACATATAACTTATTTGAAACTCATGCACAGCACCATAATTTATAATTCACATCACAGACTTTCAATGTTGTAGCACAGATTATTAGTATGATTAAACCCTATACCATAACAATAGTGAGCCAATTCTAATCAAGATCTGAGTGCAGTGAAGAATTTTAATATGGGCTGAGCTAGAACTGCTAACTTAGAAGCAATATTTTACATGCATTTATCTAGTCAACGGCCCCAAGCCTTGAAAGCAGTACAAGTTTGAAAAAAATAATTACTAGCATACATCCCACTTGAACACCTACTTAAAACAACGAAAACTTAGAAAACCTATTTATTCTGATTGAAAATGGAAGTTCCAATACCTATTAATGGTACTACTTAGGACAGCTAAAGGTTTCTATTAAGGACAAAAAGCAGTTGAATCCTCTTTGCTCTTCTAAAAAGAAAAAAAATTAAGAGCAAGGACTGCCAACTACCACCTAGAAGATAACGAAGCCAGTCTTTAGAGGATGCAGCGCTAGACCAAACAAAAAGATAAAACATTTTCTAATCACCATAAAAGCTGTTCCTTCCAATAATGAAACTTTGACTTTACAGTGTATGACGGCAAATGCAGTTCCAGAAATCAGAATGGGCAACATCCAGTGATAAGCAAACCTATTGTAATCTATGTACATTTATTTCAATCAATCTATTCTAACTTAGTTCTGTCTACTCAAAAGAACAATTTAGCTGGATATCACCCAATGCCATTTCCAACCTTCTCACCTCAAAAGTTTTATTTTTTATTTTAACCATGAAGATTTCACTTAAGTGATATGCCATCAATAATCAGAGTAACTGGAGTAGAAAGAGTGAAAAAAGACATACAAGTCCTGGAAAATTAATGCTGACTGATCTACATTTCCTTCCCAAAGAGTATAAAAGTGCAGCATTAAAAATCCTTAACATTTCTAACAAATCTAAAAGCTGTGTTAATATTTATTTACTGTAGTCATGAGTGTAACATAAGCCTCTTAGTTTGTACCTTGCAATCTCCCCATCTCAGAATCATCCGATTCACTTTCACCAGAGGTAGTCATGCCCACAGCCCCAGCAACAGAACTAGAAGCTACAGGAGGGGAAAAAATTAGTGGCACTATATTAATAAGTCACACAGTATACATACTTGTTAACTCTTCCTGAAATCCTCCTTCCAAAGTAGTCAAAGAAAACCTTTAATGACTCCAGTAGGAATAGGAATGGGCATACAAAAAAAGCAGGTTTATTTTTAGTCTTGACCCACATAGTATGGAATGACTGCACTTGAACACACAAGGTCAGTTTAAACTTTCGGCCATGCAATATGGTTGAAACTTTGGGGCTTCTTTTTCTTTAGTAAATAAGCAATTTAAAACAGAGGGCAATGACATTATACCATATAAAATAATAACGGTTCAAACATGTTTGCTTAAACAGAAAACTGATAGGAATATTCAGAATTAGGAGCTATAATCAGAACTTGGTGTGCCTTGCACCCTGCAACAAGGCTGCCAAGCAGATATGCACTAATAGTTTGTAGGATTAGACTAGTGTAGCAGCTTTGTAGCTTTCACAAAACCACAGAGGTGAAAGAGGCAGAGGAAACACTTCCCACAGACTTGTGGAACAGACAAACATTTGTTCAGGGTACTATTAGTTTGCTTGCTTGCAAGGTAAGTTGCTAACAGCAAAAATCTATGCATGTTTACTCAGAACTAAATTCCATAGATTCATTGGGATGTACTCCCTAGAAAGAGTGCATACGTCTGCCCAATACAATGAAAAGTGAAGGGTGTTAAGATGCTTCTATTACCTGTTAATAGAAGTATAAACAAAACTAAGCAAATTAAAACTAACGTGCAAAAACAGCCAGTGAGCAAATGGATTTGCTTATATTCAGCAACACTTCTTACCAAAATGAAGTCAGTAGATCTATGATCCTATTAAGCACATGGTATATTGGACAGGAGCCAAGGCAAATGAATGCTCACTCCTTTTTAACCACAGGAGAGGTATCAGGAGTCACATACACACACCCTGCCCTCACTGTCCCTTGACAAATATATTTAAAGGAAAACATCAACATTAAACCACAGTTAATACTAGCTAGGATTCCTTGTTTTAACAAGAATCTCAGCCAAACTTGAAACCTCAGCAAGAGACTACATATTTTTAGAAGGTGAGATCTAAATTTATCTTCAACTGACTTGAATAGAAACATAGGTATCACTAAGAAGAAGAAGAAGAGTTTGGATTTGATATCCCGCCTTTCACTCCCCTTC